TCCTGGCACCCGGAGTGCTCCACAGACCCCCTATTCCAAGTTGTCCCCGCCAGAACCTGCCGAGGATGGCGAAACTGAGCCACCAAGAAGCTGCATGGCTTGGCCAGCCCTGCTGCCGGCTGGGAATTCCCACTAGGCTTCCCAGCGCCTGGTTTGGTAGGGCTGGAGAAGACCCTGAAGGGTCCCCATCCCTGTGTGAGTGACTCCCATGGACCTGGAGCTCCTTTTCCATCTAATCATTCCTTAAGGTCACTTGGGAAGTCATTGCTGAAGCCAAGACTCTTCAATTCCAGCAAATCGAATTCCAAAACAATTGCACCCAACTTCAAAACGTCCCCAGCTGTGAAGCACAGGGGTGGAGGGGGACACAAAATATTCCCAGGCTTGTCTCTCCTGGATGCCTCCCTTTGTTGCAGGCAGGAGGATTTTACAGCCCAGTCTGGCAAGTGTTCCCATGAGCCAGGGAAACTCCAAACAAGCCTGGAATTGCTCCTGGGATTTGGAGCTAAATTCATTAGGGGGTAGATTTTGGGGTAGCCTTGTCATCCAAGGCCCCAAATCTCAAAATCTGCTGTGTGATAAATAGCATAAAAAAAATTAAATAATCCAGGAGGGGAAGAAGATTATTTGATGGCATGGAAAAGGGAGAAGTTTTTTTAAGGAAGCTAGAGTCTGGAAGGAGGGGATGGACTCCTCACTTCACCTCCAAATAATTAATGGGCATGACTAGGCCCATTAAATGGCCTGTTAAATTCCACGGCTGCTTGAAGCTGCTGCACCAGCAAGAAAACCCCATTGCTGTTCAAATGGTCACTTCTCCCTCCTGGGAAAAAAAAGACAAAATTAAAAAATGGACATTTGAGGCCATTTTTTGTAGTTTAACCTCTTGTTCACCAGCCTCAGGAGTGACCTTGTGTAAACTGAGGCCTAGTTCTTTGTTGCCTGAGAGAACCTCGAGCCCTTTTCCACTCTGATGTGCGTGGTAAATTGATAGGGGAAATTAAAGAGTTCCTGCTCCTTCCAGTATCTGCTGCTGAAAGACACACTGGACCTGCCCATTAATACATGCATTATGCTTTTTAAATGTTTAAAAATTTCCAGGCTTTTGAGTCGGGATCTCTGGTTGCCCACTGGGACAACTGGGCCACCAGGGCTTTCCTGTCTTTGTGATCTGTGCAGCTGAAAGACCCTCCCCCCCCGAAATGCTAAATATTAAATCATGGATAAAGAACTGCTTTCTCATTAACTTGTTGAAACAGGCCATATGTATGTGCCCATATGGAAAATACAGAAATAAGCTGATAAAAACGTGGATGGTACCTGAGTTGAGAAGATGCTTTGAAAGGGAGGGGTGATACCTACAGGCTGTGCTGCTGTGGGGTGACATTGTTCAAGGTCAGCCTGGAGCAGAAACCTGTCCCAAAATGTACCAATGTAACCCATGAGAAGGAATAAAATCTGTTTGAATAAAAAAAATCACAGACTGGT